GCCACAATAATTTGGTATTTATTTTCATTAAATAAGACACAGATGTATTATTAACATTTAAAGACCCCAACATCTTTAGTTAGAAATGAAAGGTCTGACCCCCATTGCTGCACTGACATGACAATAACAACTAAATAAATGAATCTTAGAACACTCATCCACAGCTGACTAACAGGGGGAAATTCAGTTTCACCCACTTCTATCCCACAAACTCATTCCCTAGGAAAAGGGTTTGGAAACAGCTGTTCTCTTCTTTGTTTTTGTTGAAAAGAAGTCATCTATTTAGTATTGTATGTGGGTGACAGCATACACAGATAAATTAAAGAAAAGTAAATATTTTCTATCTGACGAAACAACACCCCCATGCAGCACTAGACTAGATTCAAATGTGGAACCGGTTGCAAGGTTTCACACCTAAATATGGTAAGAGCAATTTTGTTACTGAGGTTGTCCATGTGTTACTGTATGTTTACGACTTTGTCTCAACAAAAGTGAAAGGTTTGTGGTTTACTCTGGAGGTCTGATGTCTGCTGTCTGTCTTCAGTCAGAATCACGTTCACACTGGAAAGTGATGGACAGATCTTACCCAAGGGATCAAATGGTAAGTCTTGAAATGTGAAAAATTCTGCTGCAAACTGCATTCAGTCTTAAGGCATTTTCTCTATCATATACTTGAACAGTGGTTTACACAGTCTACGCCGCCAGGCTCTTGCCAGGTTTAGATTCCTGTGGATGGAAATGGCTTTAAATTAGAAATCTACGGTATGTTACAGTGTTCCCAGAGGCTCTATTCTCTAGGTAAGCCTCACTGACTCCTCCCCCTTGACCCCTGGCACTGTGGTGAGGAAGCCCCGACAAAGCCACGTAGGGACAGTTTGATTCCATATCCCTAACCTGTGTGCTGTGGTGAGTGGACACTTCACTCTTGGGAAAAAAAGCCAACATGGCAGCGACCCTCCACACCACGGCCGCCACAGAGCCGGCATCAAGTCATTTGTGACAGTTTATCTCCTCATTAGTAACTGGATGACATTTCCAGCATATTTCCAACACTTCTGTACTAGGGTTTTTCTAGCGAGTTTGAGTTTCTTTCCAAGGTAAAGAACCAAGCAAGGCAGACCAGGGGCAATCCGACACCTTATACGATGGGAATGGTAGCCAAGTTCAGACAGCAGTAACTGAGGGTTATGGCTAACGCAGAGGAAGACATGGGAAACAGGGAGAAATGGGACAAAAGGGAGGAGAGAGGGAAAGCATGGGAAACCTTGCCCAGATACAGAAGCAGACTCCCTGCAAACCAAAATTGGTTGTGCGAACATTCCCAGAACATTTATTAGGTTGCCCCAAAAGTTCCAATAACACTAAAACTGTCCAGTTGTGCTGATAATGATACAACGTTTGTATAAAACGTTCGCCTGATGTTGCACGAACATTCCCAGGACACATTTTGTTATTACATTACATGGAAACCTAATCTGAACCTCAGGGGAATGTTTTGTGGTGGTTGTTACGGATGTTGTGCACAACATTTTAGTAAATGTTAGGAGAACATTCCAAGGATATTTAAAATAGCATTGTGTTATGAAAAACGTTATTTTAACGTTTTTGGGATGTTATCATCCTAATGTTTAGATACAACCCTGACTAGAACTTCATGGGAATGTTAGCTAATGTCCTGGGAATGTTAGCTAATGTCCTGGGAATGTTCCCGGTTTGCTGGGTAGGCAGTGCCAGTGGGCACTCCACTATGTTCAAGCTCCTTTAACGAATGGATCAGAACAATAATGAATGCTATGATTCAAAGGAATAGACACTATATCATGCAAAATGTATTGTAATCACTTTGATGAAATGACACTGCAGACATGTTCTCAAGTGGTTTGGACACGTCTCTGTACTAAAGACATACAGACAACATGACAATAGCAGGAGGATGACTAGTAAAGCATGTATGTGGTGCTTGTACAGAAAGTTCATTAGAAACATCTAATTAGTAGTACTGCATTTTATTTTATTTTTTTATTTCACCTTTATTTAACCAGGTAAGCCAGTTGAGAGCAAGTTCTCATTTACAACTGCGACCTGGCCAAGATAAAGCAAAGCAGTGCGATTAAAAACAACAACAACACAGAGTTACATAATAGGATAAACAAAACATACAGTCAATAACAAAATAGAAAATCTATATACAGTTTGTGCAAATGTAGTAAGTTATGGAGGTAAGGCAATAAATAGGCCATAGTGCAAAATAATTACAATTTAGTATTAACACTGGAGTGATAGATGACCTCCTGTGATGTAAACTACATCAGCCACATGGTGTTTCCTTCTCAGTAGCTTTCAGCAAATACACTCTGCAGTTACAGTAACCTTTGACCTAGGTACAGACTGTTGTGTTTTACTTTCACAAACACTGGCTAAGTGAAGGCTGCTGTCTTTTTTTTTTCTGAATTTGGAAACATTCACTCACTTGTTCATGCAGTTAGTAGGGGCAATGGTAGCGCTGCATAGTTAATATTCATGTCTCACAATAAACTCTGTAGTTCAATAGGTCAAGTATAAGACCCATGACATGGAACATAATATTTCTGTATATCTGTCTCCCCCTTTTTCCGATTGAGTTACATTAAAGCACAAACTGCATCAGGGGCGGATTGGGACCAAAAATCGGCCCTGGCATTTCAAGCACACCGGCCCATTTTCTTCCTCGAGGCCGTCACACTGCCCATTTGTTTTAATTTGAGGCCCCCATTATTAGTTCAGATAATTATCATTTTGTACAAATACAGGAGACAACATTCAAGGAACAGCCTGTGGCTGCCTTCATATTCCCTGACAAGCCATTTAATTCAGTCAGCCTTGCACACGGTGGTCATGAACATTGACATTTCAAAGATAAGCTGATTGTTGATTATTTTTGTGGACAAATGTGGGAGCTTGTTTTATGTGAACTCCCATAATGAGCTCTGGATATTGGTCCCATAATGAGCTCTGGGTATTTGTCCCATAATGAGCTCTTGATATTGGTCCATTGGGAAGCATGGTAACAGCTCCTTCTAGTGGTCAACTGTCAAACTGACTCAAATAAATCAAGGCTGCAGCAAGTATCTCCTACTAACTGGATGAACAAGTGAGTGAATGTTTCCAAATTCAGAAAAAAAAGACAGCAGCCTTCACTTAGCCAATGTTTGTGAAAGTAAAACACAACAGTCTGTACCTAGGTCAAAGGTTACTGTAACTGCAGAGTGTATTTGCTGAAAGCTACTGAGAAGGAAACACCATGTGGCTGATGTAGTTTACATCACAGGAGGTCTGTGGCACCTTAATTGGGGAAGGCAGGCTCGTGGTAATGACTGGAGCCCAATCAGTGGAATGTATCAATACATCAAACATATAGTTTCCATGTGTTTGATGCCATTCCATTTGCTCCATTCCAGCCATTGTTATGAGCTGTCCTCCCCTCAGCAGCCTCCACTGGTTTACATATGTTGAGGAACACATGCTTAAGTGATCCTAGAAGGCTCTTGTGCATGAAATGATGGTCTCATGTTGAATTGGAGTTGTCAGACCGTTAACCATCTGCATAAAGGTTATGAGTCACTCTCTCTCCCCCTCTGAGAGTAACAGGCACATGCATGTGCACACCCACCCACCCACGCACGCACGCACACACACGTATGCACACACACACGTATTTAAAACAGTCAGTTGGCTACCTTTGTATCAGAAATGGTGTCCAATGGAGAGAACAGGTGCAGGCTTTAAAGTACACCTATTTTTAGAGTGAATACAAAACGGAGATCTTAGCATGGAAGGCGAGAGCCAAAGTCTCCTGGCATTGCCTGGTGGTTCCCATACATTCGTGAAGGCCTACTGATCTAAGCACAAACATAATTTAAAAAACGACATTCATATTAACACATTTTAACAACATGTTGGGGAAATGAAATGTTGATAGATAATACATACTTATTGCATGACCCCACCACTGCTGCTCATACCAAGATTGATAGTGTGCCAGATAATGCTTTCAGTAGCCTACAAAACAAATACAGTGCTTGTATTCACACTCTTCGTTTATGCAGAATGTAGCATTCTACTGACATTGAAGGCTGTGGCAGCTATTGGTTCTCACCCCGACATTGTAGCCAAAGTACTGTGGTTGATAGATGCAGCCAAGCGCTGTATTCTCTCCGTGATCATTCAATCTACGAAGACCTTCATTCTGTCTCAAACGTTTTCATGATCTAAGAAAACTGTTTCGCCATTTGTGTAGGATTAAGTTAATCGATGTGCACTGCTTCATCTGTGAGACGATGTGGAAAACATTTAGGGGTAGAAAGAAGTGTGTGCTCGCCTAGCAAAAGCACGTATTCCGTACCCGTGGAATCTAATCATGCCTCCAGATTAAGTGTTTTTATTTAAATGTATTGATTAAGGTTGCGTTGATTTCTTATGTTGCTCCTCGCAGTTGGCATCACTTCAGCCTTCAGGGTGAAAGACTGATCCTATTGCTCAAAAAGGTTGGCCACTTGACAAGACATGGAACAAGTGCGCCTCCCTTCCCTAGTTAGGCGTATTCATTGTTAGGGGTTTGGGTTTGGCTGATTTAAAAAAGGCAAGCCTGGTCCGAAGTTGATCAGTCTGCTCAGAAAACTTCTCCGGATGGGAAAGTATTGGAATCGGTTTCAAAGGGGGGAAAATCCAGGTTTTGTGTAAAGAATTGCATTGCAGCCAGAGAGGACATCACTTCTGTCAATTAAGAAAAACAATATTGCACCCCAAAGTGTAGACTTTAGGTGATATTTTGACTTGTTCTGTGAATACTTTTTATTTGTAAAGAATATATTTGTTCCGTTTATTTTGACTGGAGTGTGCTGAAAGCACTCTCTCCATTTGGATGCGGACTGGTTTGAAAATTTATAAATAGGATCATTTAACGCACGGGCATTGCCTGTCAATTTTATTCACATTTGGTGTTTGTCAATTGCAAGACGAATATGTTTCTCAGTTTTTGTCTACTGGTGACATTTTTCTTGGGGCTGACCGGGTGCTTTGGCTCATATGTACCCTGCGAGCCGTGTGACCAGAAGGCGCTCTCTATGTGCCCCCCGGTCCCCGTCGGTTGTCAACTCGTGAAGGAGCCTGGCTGTGGTTGCTGCCTAACCTGTGCCCTATCGGAAGGTCAGGCGTGCGGTGTTTACACCGGAACATGCACCCATGGCTTGCGCTGCTTGCCGCGGAATGGAGAGGAGAAGCCCCTTCACGCGCTCCTCCATGGCAGGGGGGTGTGCACGAACGAGAAAGGATACAAACCCCTCCATCCACCCATAGGTAAGAAGACGCAGTGAATGCATGCGATTAGGGGAGCCACGGAAGATGGGGCTGTGTAAAATACAACAGCATGATATTGTCGCAGGGTTGAAATTCAGTTTCAGCTATACTGGCCCCGGTAAATGGAATTGTAGACGTTTTGTTTCGTTTTGGAATCCACATTTGAAATAACTGCACAGGTAGCCTACATGAGCTTCTCATATACGCGCAAACTGTCCGATTTGTCAGTCTTAATGCGGCAGGCTTTATAGTGAATCTGGGTCTTTATTCAATCGCAAACTGTATCCGTTTCATCACAATGCCACAATAACAGCACGTGCACATAATAACACCGCTATTGCGTAGACTTCCATAGCAATAGGTAGTTTGATATAAATGAATGCAAATAGGCATACTGGTGAGCTGTTTTGAGTGTTGATCTTATTTGTGCGGGTCTGTGTGTAAAACCAACATTCACTATAAGTTGCTGCTGACGCACTTGTCAGTTTAGTTTTGAGTGAGTTTGTGTGCGCAGCGGTGGGCTGTGCTGCTCTCAAACTTGCAGTCGCAGTATTGTGTTCGTTATGAATACAGTATGGTAGACTCAAAGCGTTCTGCTGCATGCTTGTTTACAGGGCTGTGTCCCTGCCTCGCCACAGACAGACACGTGCCTGTCTGGACTTCCATTCTTGTGTGAGAACACATTGTAGCCAATGTGGTAATACGTCATTGCTGCTGTTCTAATTAGTTAAATCCCCTTTCACTTTGTTGGACACCTGCATTTCTTGCAAACATAATTGCGGCCTGCAAAGAATATTAATATTTTCCAACATATAATGACCCATCCCATTCTCTTCTGGGATACACCAGGAGGTGCCGTTTCTGCAGGTACCGGATTATATTTAAATCGCAGACTCCAACTCCGATGGTTTTGTGTACAATCCCAGTGCTAGGCACTCGTTTATTGTTTTTGTGTTTTAAGCCTTTACCAAACCTTAACTCTTAACTTAACCACTCCGAATTAATGCTTACACGTATGTTTAGCCCTAACCTTAACCATTCTGAATGAATGCCTACATTTAAATTTTAGTTTCACTTTTGCCGAATTTGACTGACAGCTAAAATATGGCACCACATGGTGTAATTAAAACCTCAAACCATGGTTTAATTCTGTTGCTGCAGTTTTATTTGGAGATTGGGTTGTAATATCCGGTCTTTCTTATTGTAATTGACTGAAGAGGGCTCTGTTCCTGGCGCTATGGACCTTGTCAAAACTGAATTGAAGTTTAGCCCCTGTGGGTGGTGTTGAGAGATGGATTACCACTCAAAGATCACATCTGATGGTGTGTGTGCATGAGTCTGTGGACGTGTGTGCACAGTGGGGCAAGTGGAGTTAGGTTTGAATTAACTAAACATCAACATTTAGAGGTCACAGATGGTATTAGATGATTCATGATTTAGAGTGTCACTTGTTACCAGAACCTATTAGGCTAAATACACGTTTTGGTGACAAGCCACATTTGATTAATGCTAGTGGTTTAGGCCTATTCTTTGTTTGGCCAGGTTGAAAGACTCATGCTATGCTTTGGCTACACCCTACATGTACTGTACCTCCCTTGGGGGACATGCATGAAATCACCAAAAAAAAAATGGAATTCAGCCCATTCAAGAGGTCACCATTGTCTGTAGTAATGGCAGCAAGGCTATACATAACATCCCACAAATACTTGCAGCAATAACTGAAATAAACCCAAGTACATTTGTCTAGAATAAAAGTAGCACTCTGATCCAGGACATTGAATTCCAACACGCACTCTGTCTGAAGCCTGTGGGTGTGTGTGTGTGTGTGTGTGCATGCATTTGTGTATGTGTGCGAATGCTGACTTCTGTGGTAACCGGAGCGCGGCCGTCTTCCTGCCCCTGACCAGGCGCAGTGCAGTGATTCAGCAGAATGCCTCCGGTTGCTCTTCTCTGAAGGGCCGTCCATCAAGGGCTCCTCTGATTGGAATTAGACATGAGCCTTCAGTTTCCTGCCGGGTAGTGTTTCAACCTGCTCTGATCAGCTGGCAGACACAGAGAGGACAGGTCAAGTGTCCAAAGACGGATCCTCAGGGGTCCCAATAGTTTCCATCTCTGGGCTGCATTCATGCAATTCTACTGCATCCTAGCAGAAAAAAAAGCCACTTTGGAACCAGTTGAAACAATCTACATATTATAAAGGCTTTATGCTTTTAAAGGGGGACTGCCACTTTAAATACCAGATCTGTTTCTTGAAGGAGAGGGAATAACATTGAATTATCTCTCTATTTCTTTCTCACAAATGTATTGGCATGACATGGGTATAACAATGTAATGCGATGTCGCCAAACTACACACTACTCAGTTGTCTCTCTCTCATCTCTACAGAAGTCTGGTGTCACCCAGCATCTTTTGTTGACTGTTGAGTTGTGTTCCAAGGAAATGGTGCATAGCTCGGATGGCTGGGCATAGGAGTTGGTTTGTGTTGCTGGCCACTCAGTTCACTGTGTTAGCCCAGAAGAACAAGAACCTAGAACGCCTGCCAACAGATATGATTCCATGCCAACAGATATGACTCCATGCCAACAGATATGACTCCATGCCAACATATATGATTCCATGCCAACAGATAGGACTCCATGCCAACAGATATGACTCCATGCCAACAGATATGATTCCATGCCAACAGATAGGACTCCGTGCCAACAGATATGACTCCATGCTAACAGATATGACTCCATGCCAACAGATATGACTCCATGCCAACAGATATGACTCCATGCCAACAGATATGATTCCATTGCAACAGATATGACTCCATGGCATAAGGCCCCTTGCTCTCTGAGCTTGTGAAAGAGCCTTATGTTTGAACAGATTGCCCTTTGCCAAGAAACAAGAAGATGATTAAAGAGAGTGTATAAATCTAGAAAGCTTGACTTGCACATCAACAAGCACGTTGTGCTTTATAAACACAGCATCAACACAAATGCAGCTTCTGCCAAAGCCCAAAAAGAACAGAACCATTTTGAGTTCTGGGTTTCTTTTTGTGCGCCAAGATATATCTTAATTTTTTTGCCTATTTGGTGGTGCATTTACAAGTTTTTGTGCAATCACAAGCCAATGCGAAGAAGCCAGTTGTTTGTCACCTGTCCTTGTTACCACAATTTACAATGGGACTAAATAAATGCTGGCACCCAAAATGTGGTGTTAACCTGACAGCTTAATGCATGTGCCAAGTGATTTGTGGCTCTGTACTCTTTTTTGAAAGGACAGAACTAAGGGGGTTATTAAGTAATATTTTTAAGATACAGCCCCAGCCATCTTAGGGAAACATTTTACAGTAGCAGGGTCAACTTCAAGTATTTATTTTTTCGTGTGTTCCTGTAATAACCGCCCTCCCTCATACAGCTCCTGGATGCTCCACACCAATTGTCCTCATGTGAACTGAACGGACAGACCAGCAGAATGCCAGCATGGGTTGGTTTTGGTTAGGGTTACACATTGCCACTGCATTGTTATATTCCCAAATACATCGGACAATCTCCCTTAACAAAGAGGCCAATGACGATCCACTTTGGTGTGAGGCAGCTTGGTTGGCCTATCTACTGTAGATGGTATACTAGAACACCTGCTGTACATTACACACAAATGGCCCTATCAGTCCTGGTCCAGTTCAACCAGAGATGGCCACAGCTGTTTGACGGTTTAATTGCTAGGTCATAAGGAGAAGACCATTGCTGAGGGTGATTTTACAACTCACTCACCCTGAACCCCCTCCTCGCAGAAGTGGATGTTGTTAAACGCTAAATATAACCAACCTCTTCAGATTGATGTGAGACAGTTTATCATGAAATCTTCCTTGGTGTAGGTTCTGGTTTTCTAGAATGCTGTGCCATGGACACGCATGTGTTAATCATGGGAAACAAATGGTCAATGTAAGGTCTACAATCATGCTCTAGGGCCAAGCTATGACACTGTTCCCATGCACAGTATTCAAGCTAGAGAACTTACTTGGCAGTTGGCACACTTGAATGAGTTCTTCCAGTGAAGTTTTACAGCAATCAGTCTAGCATGTATCTGACACCAGTGGAGGCTGGTGGTAGGAGCTATAGGAGGACGGGCTCATTGTAATGGCTGGAATGGAATCAATGGAACGGAGTCAAACATGTGGTTTCCATATGTTTGATGTGTTTGACACCGTTCCATTTATTCCATTCCAGCTTTTTCAATGAGCCTGTCCTCCTATAGCTCCTCCCACCAGCCTCCACTGGCTGACACTTACACCAGGGTCGTGCTCAGTAGAGAACAACAAACGCTTTGCCAAGGACAACAAAAATTAACAGGTTCAAAACAAAGAAGGTTCAAAACAGGAACCAACAACACAAACATACTGTACTTGTGATGAGTGTGATTAGAAGGAGTCAGGAGGGTACATCACCGAATACAGAGTTTATTCCGTCGTACACAGTTGAGCTGGATAGCGGCAACAAAATACATGCACAGGGGAACAACCTACCCCGGCAATACAAGGTACGAGTAGCTACACTCAACTCACATAAAACAATCACCCACAAGGACAAGGGGGCAGAGGGAACACTTATACACAGACTAATGAGGGGATATGACCCAGGTGTGTGTAATTGACAAGACAAGACAAATGGAATGATGAGATATGGAGCGGCAGTGGCTAGACGGCCGGTGACGACGAACGCCGAAGCCTGCTCGACCAAGGAGGGGAGGCAGCCTCGGCGGAAGTCGTGACAGTACAGCATGAAGCTTTGAACCAACAACACACACATATTGTACAACAAACATACTGCACTGAATGAAGCAGTAACATCATGGCCACCTTGTCCAACCAAATCTGTTTTTTTTTAGCACTGCCAAAGGGTGTGTTAATAAAGATGCCACCTGAATTTTGATGACACTTTTTATAACGACTCATTTTTTTATTTAAAGCAGAAAGAAAAGCTCTAAAGACCAATGCTACATTTCATCTGTAAATAATTCGTTTTGGAGATGTAATGAAGACATCTTCTATTAAGGCACGTGTTGTTGGAAGCAAATCAGGTAGTAGGGTCTAAAAGTGTCAATAAAGTGAATGGAAAATATATAATTCTGGATAAGTTTAACATGGCTTTGATTTGACCATCCACCAGCACTTAACATTGGACACTAACTCAACACCTATTTTAGTTGACGATGTCACAGGACTAATGACAACAAACCAACGTGTTCTTCTAAAGGTCGTCCGCGTGCTTCCCATCCGAAACAGTTCGGGACAGTTTGTGCATGTATTATGATTACATTTTGTGACGTCTTTGTTTGTTTTGGTATACAGCAAGGGTTTTTTCAGCTGTTCGTGCACACAAAAAATGTTCCTGAAGGCAAGCCAAAGTCGGTAGCTGAAGTCTACGCCCCTTCGTCGGTGATTGGTCAACAGTAGGGATTCTTCAATGAAGTGTTTGTTGTCATTCAACAAGAGACGACTCGTTTTCAGCTCATTTTTTCACTTGAGAAATACTGCATCAAACATCTTAGATTATGAGACTAAGATCTCCTCTGCAAAAACTTCAAAATTAATGACAGATTTCTTGAGTTATCTTAGATTAAATCAGACTATTTTGAGGAAGTGTATACTGGCTATGGCGTCTCAATATGGACAAACAGTACTATTGCTGCTTTTTTCTTGTTTTTCAAGCCGAACCGAAGCATGCAGTGGTTGAGTTGTGCCACAACGAGTAAGCATTTTGCAAGGCCATTCGATGTGGAATTGAATGTTCTCCAATGGCTGTACATTTTGTTTAGATCCTTACAGAATGAATGCTCTTGGTCTGGATCACCTACCTCTAATTGAATGACTGAAGTGCAGTGTTTCATTCTGGTCCAAGGGTTTTCCATATCTCCTTCTCTGTGCTACTGTGGTAGAGGTATCAGGTCATGGATTCTGTCCTGAAGCCTTGAAATATTAAGCAGCGGGATCAGACTGGGGGAGTCGTGGTTGGCCAGTGTTGTGACTTAAAAGATAATGACAGAGGACTTCCTGCTCCGTTATCACTATCTCACCGCATACCCCCGTCCGTCCGTCCTCTGGATTAACAGCACCTCTACTCAAGACCTAGGATCTTGTAAAGGTGTAATTTCAGAGGGTGTTCTGTGCTAGCAACATAGCCATTGACTAGGATACACTCAGTGGTGTAAGGTGTGTGAGCCAATGAGAATTTATGCATCTCATTGTTGTGCCGCATTTTCCACCCCAAGTTGTATGACTGGATTCATAACGACTGGCTGAGAGAGAGAGACACAACTGAAAGAAGGGTGGCTTGTCTTTCATACTTAGGCTTCCTGGCTGCAAGAAACTTGGGATATTCATGAAGCATAATTGCCCTGCGCACATGTAAATTTTTAAACAGAGGCATATCAGTTGCACATTGTTTGCCTGTTCCGTTCGTCTTGTGTTAATGAAAACTTTAGCGCGAGCAGTGGGAGAGATACCAATACCTCTTCAGCCTGGGCTGAATGGAGGGGGCTGCACGTGACCTTGCTGTCTTGGCTGGAGGCCAGCATCTTGGCAGGGTTTCAGAACTTAAACACAGGCCTACTAAGCCTCTTTTACAAGCTGGGGACCTTAAGCATGGAAAAACTGAGTTTTTGAGAGAAAGAGAGACTCCAATTGTCTGCAAACATTCTGTCTCCATGTCTTTGAATTGCAGGCACAGCTTGTGAATTGGAAGTACAACAGCATTTTATTTGATGTTCTGAAATAATTCTCAACACTAAACTGTGTAATAATAGTTATATATATATTTAAAGGGTTGATGTTCATTTTTCACCATCAAATGATATGAAGAAAACCCTTCTACCATCCCATATTTCAATAGAACATCCAATATAAACATCCAACATTTCCTCACAAGCCTACAGTATACACACAAGTATCACAAACTCTCATCTCCCTCACTCATGACTTACTTGAGCTAATGAGCTTGTTTCTCAAATCATACTGCTAATGTAATTGGAGTGCTGACATTTTTCCATCTGATATTTCTCCACCCAAATCATGTTAGGCTAAATGTGAATGTCATGAATCATGATGAGACCTGGCAGTATTTTCGGAAGATGCTCAAATGTCTAGAGTCAATATCACAAGTGACTCCCATGCTGCATGTAAAGTAGGCCAATGACGTAGTGTGTCTTGTATTTGTAAAATGGAAGGGGGGGGTGCATTCTCCTGTTTGTGGTAGGTGATTCTGAAAATGGTTTGTAGAATCACGGAATCATTATTGAAGGCTTGAGACACTTAAATGTAAAGGTATGCAGCATTGTCATCAGAGGTACTTTGAATAAACTGGTCAAATGAAAGTTTTTTTCCCCCCAGCATCCAGGCATCGAGCACGTAGGAAAGCTCATTTGACAAACTTATTTCTAGCATTTTATAACCCTGGCGGTCTGAACAGGGAGAGTCGAGGACGTATCCAAACACTGAGAGCCGCCTTCAAAGTCATGAGTTGTGAGATTGATTTCAAAGCGAGGACGGCAGTTCAGATACCAGGGTCCCAATTCCAGTAATCATCCTCCCTTCATCCCCCAACTCACCCCCTCCCAGACACCCCTGCTGCGTCCAGACTCATCAGACGTCAATTCCCGGGAATACACCTCTCAGTGGCGACATGCCTCCCCTATTTCCAAGGTGGCCATGTAAGTCCAGTCCAATGGCGCCTATACTTAATTAAGAAAACATTGAAATGTGGTTTGTTTCAATTATTTTTAATCATCCCCCTCTTCAGCTGTCTGTCGATGTCTCGTGGTTGTCTCTCCCCAACAATACTTGGCACATTCACTCAGCACCAGAATTCCAACCACGCCCTCCCCCATGGCCACCGCTGCACTGGATAAATATAACCTCGGTCGTCTACAGGCACTGCGGCCACTCGCCAGTTGGGGCCTGGCAAAATCTCATGACAGTGCCTTTGGGGCCTGGTAAAATCTTATGACAGTGCCTTTGGGGCTTGGTAAAATCTCATGAAAGTGCCTTTGGGGCCTGGCAAAATCCCATGACAGTGCCTTTGGTGCTTACGATAGAGTAAGCACAAGCAGGAGAGGCGCGCTCATCTCTGTGGCCTAAGAGAACCTCATGCAGGCTAGTGCTCTTGGCTTACGGGGGCTGAGCCCCAAGGAGGGAACGGGGGGGAGAGGGGATAAGGGATCAGGACCCCAAATCTCTAGGCTGGGGAGACCTCCATATGTACCTCTAGGACTGTAGTGGACTGTAGTGCCCTCTGGGGGGTGGGATGGGGTAGGGGGAGAGCAGTGGCCTTTCTTCCTGGCTTCAGGGTATTTTATAGTACTAAATTCTGTTTCTTGATATGAAATGATACAGTACATTCAGACTAGGATGTGCTCACCTCTGCCGTAGGCTTCAGTTGCCATGGCTCCTCAGTTACTATGACATCAACGTCTCCAAGTATGATCTGTGAAAGATATGAAGTCTTTGAATAGCCCTAATTATATTTGTCTTTGCAGGGACTTGCCAGATACTGTAAGCATGTATTACCAAAATAGCGTATGATCAACCAAATAGGCCTCTGTGTCACACAAAAAAACTCCACATACCTCCTTAATAAGAAATAGAAGGGACTGAGCTAAGATTTGGTCTTTTTCGGTCAGCATTCAGACTTGTTTAACCAGACTTACTTGCTTTGCTTTGACCTCCATTAGTAGATGCTGGATGTTTTTTATGGTGGGAGCTGGGGTGAAGTAGTGTTAGAGGTAGTTAATCAGCTGTCGATCCTTGATCCTGCCCCCTCCTTTGTAAACAAATGGAAAAGCAACATTTGTTGGCCCAAACCCTGGGAAAAGCATCTGGTAGTCCATATTTTCGTTTGGGCAAGAATAGCTTTTTGAACATTTTAGGTGGGGGTAATGTGACAAGTATGCCCTGTCTTGCCCCTGTGTAGATCATGAGTCTCTGGAACACGAGGACACCCTGACCACTGAGATCACGGAGGACCAACTGCAGCCCGCCAAAGTGCCCCTCCTCCCCAAGCAGGACCTTATCAACAGCAAGAAGATCCAGGCAATGCGCAAGGACAAGGACCGCAAGCGGGCACAGGCCAAACTGCGCTCCATTGGCCCCATGGACTACTCCCCACTACCCATTGACAAGCACGAGCCAGAGTTTGTAAGTACAAGACTGGAGAGAAGGAAAGACGGGGGCTCATGCTAATGTTGTGCTGATACTGATGCTGAGGTTGTTAGTGTTGTCCAACTCTGATCCTGGGAGAGCTGACTGAGTGCAGGATTTTGTTCCACCCATGGTGCTAGCACTGGGAGCTAATGTTAGTTGTGCCGTTCCTCCACAGGGTCCTTGCAGGAGGAAGCTGGATGGGATCATCCAGGGAATGAAGGACACATCCCGTGTCATGGCCCTGTCCCTGTACCTTCCCAACTGTGACAGGAAGGGCTTCTTCAAACGCAAACAGGTGAGCAGTCTCCCTCTGTCAGCATCCTTATTCATGGTTTAACACATCAGTTATACATATTAATAATATTCATGCTTACACTGTCTTTCTCTCTCTTTCTTTGTCACCTGTCGTTGCACATCGATTGCCTCCACAGTGCAAGCCCTCTCGCGGCAGGAAGCGGGGCATCTGCTGGTGCGTGGACAAGTACGGCTCGCAGGTACCAGGCACAGACTACAGCGGGGGAGACATCCAGTGCAAGGACCTGGAGAGCAGCAGCATCAACGAGTGAATAGGCGGCTCCACCCCCGCCCCGATCACCTGACCCAGGGCCCCACCTCCTCCTTTCCCTCCCACCTGTCTGCTTCGCCCTCCAGTCACTTTTTGAGATTTTCAATATGAAAAAATAAGAACACTAAACAAATCAAATGAACGAACGAACGAAAGGACAGGCTTGAAAAAAGGACACCTGAAATCTTTATTTTTTTTTGACCGTGCGCTCATCTCTTAAAAGACGGAACCCAGCAGGTTTAAGCCCTTGTTTGACCCTCGGGCCCCTCCCCCACTAAGAGCTGGGCTCTAGCCCCTCCCCCACTAAGAGCTGGGAGCCTCACTAACGATTCATGAAAATATATACTTGTATTGATATATTTTTATAGAAGCACCAAACTTTGTATCATTTAACGCTAACATAAAACGGATGAAAAAAATTAAAATAAGTCACGTTGATTATAAACAGGACTGTTTTGGTCTTTCACATCTATTGCTATTGAGGTTTCAGAGGACATAGCTGGACCTTCTATTGAGGTGTCAGAGAAGATAGCTGGACCTTCTATTGAGGTTTCAGAGGACATAGCTGGACCTTTGATTGAGGTGTCAGAGGAGATAGCTGGACCTTCTATTGAGGTTTCAGAGGACATAGCTGGACCTTCTATTGAGGTGTCAGAGAAGATAGCTGGACCTTCTATTGAGGTTTCAGAGGACATAGCTGGACCTTTGATTGAGGTGTCAGAGGAGATAGCTGGACCTTCTATTGAGGTGTCAGAGGGGATAGCTGGACCTTCTATTGAGGTGTCAGAGGAGATAGCTGGACCTTCTATTGAGGTGTCAGAGGAGATAGCTGGACCTTCTATTGAGGTGTCAGAGGAGATAGCTGGACCTTCTATTGAGGTGTCAGAGGAGAGAGCTGGACCTTCTATTGAGGTGTCAGAGGAGATAGCTAGACCTTCTATTGAGGTGTCAGAGGAGATAGCTGGACCTTCTATTGAGGTGTCAGAGGAGATAGCTGGACCTTCTATTGAGGTGTCAGAGGAGATAGCTGGACCTTCTATTGAGGTGTCAGAGGAGATAGCTGGACCTTCTATTGAGGTGTCAGAGGAGATAGCTGGACCTTCTATTGAGGTGTCAGAGGAGATAGCTGGACCTTCTATTGAGGTGTCAGAGGAGATAGCTGGACCTTCTATTGAGGTGTCAGAGGAGATAGCTGGACCTTCTATTGAGGTGTCAGAGGAGATAGCTGGACCTTCTATTGAGGTGTCAGAGGAGATAGCTGGACCTTCTATTGAGGTGTCAGAGAACATAGCTGGACCTTCTATTGAGGTGTCAGAGGAGATAGCTGGACCTTCTATTGAGGTGTCAGAGAACATAGCTGGACCTTCTATTGGCAGAGAAAAAAAAGAAACGTGAGAGGGTCATGCTCTCTCTATATGGGTATTTGGTTCTGTCAGAGCACTACAATAAGGGAACCTGCTTGGATACGTGTTACTAAGTTTGTGTGAGCATGCATGTGTGTGTGTGTGTGTGTGTGTGTGTGTGTGTGTGTGTGTGTGTGTGTGTGTGTGTGTGTGTGTGTGTGTGTGTAAGAGAAAGGGAGTGAGCTTAACACAAGAATGACATTTTTTTCCTCTCTCTCTCTTTTTTTCTTTTTACAACAACAAAAACAACAATCTTCACGGCTGGTGCTTGAAGTAGTCTTGAGGATGGCTTTCTCCCACTAGCCTATGAAACATATGTCTATGGGAAACGGAGAGTGTTTGAAACAATAAGCAGATCATTACAGACAAACCTTTGTAAGTGGCTCTTTGACTCTGAAGCTATCCTGATATGCCAACTGTGCCTATTGTTACCAGACACTGCCATGCAGGGCAACACAGAACTTAATGGAGAACACTACCCCTACTGGTGAAGGGAATACTGCCACAAAGTGCTCATTCTGTCACCTGATGCGAGCTCTGCTTGGCCCAACAACCGGGACTTAAAGAATAGTGGGATGAGGCTAAACAACCGTACAGTCCCCCAATAACTAACACCAGTAATCCTTTGTTTTGCTAAAGTATGGGCAACAATTGTGAGAAGAAGGATAAAGCACGTTGCAGACTTGTATTCACCAGTGAGGTTAGCTGTTTTCTTTTTGTGTCTCAGTTGCTCGAGGGTGTTAATCTTGTGTGATTTTGTTTGTACTGTTTCTTTTTGCCTTCAGTGAAGTAGTAACCGCCCACTTTTGAGCCGTGTTCCTTAACCAAGTGGTCCGTTGCCACGGCTACAGTGGAACCTTGGTGTATTACTTTTGACTATAAATTAACTAATGTTCTTTTAAAAAAACAAAACAAATACAATGTACTGGTGCTTGGAAAAGGACGTGTGTATTTTAGCCTGTAAACAATTTGAATGGTTCCATGACGCCTGGCCATCCTTATTTGAATATGAAACAGTCATAAAAAAGCTATATCCCATCTATATACTTCCCCCTTCGCTTGCATGCCACCCCTCCTTCTCGACAACTTGTTTTCAATACAACACAACATTACTTGCATTGGAAATGGTGAGCAGTTTTCCTTCCGCTCAATGGGGGCATCTTTGACCACTACCTGCAGGGTCAGTTGAAAGAGTAGTTTTATGTTCATCTGTCTGCAAGTCGCAGTGCCTTCCTACATGCATATCCACATTTGAATAGTGACGCGAACGTGCCGTGGTAGCTGTTTAAGGGGCGGAAACCCTGCTGAGGCTGAGAGGTCCCCAGGGTAATAGTTTTCTAGCCTGCCAAGACAAGAGGTCTAGGTGTAGTACAGAGAAGGTAACTCAATGGGATGTGGGATAGCTCTTGTCATCGTGCCACAAACACATTAGGAATTTGTTGCTGCTTATCCCTCTCTGTGTATGACTGTGAGGGCAAGGCAGACCAGAGGACCCGTTCTGTCTCTTATTTTCAAAAAGCACCAAAAAGCTAGAATATTGCTTTCAAAGTTGACTGCCGATGTATTTGATTGCCAGAGAATAGGCAAGTGATTGTTAGAATTCCGAGGCACATCATCGTTGGGCACACAGACTAGCAAACTGCTGCCTCTCTCTGCCAGTAGTCGGAGAAAAGATGGACGAGGCATTACTAGCCATCAGATCCTATTCCACAGCTTGAGCGTTCATAGTTTCTCTAGCCAGGCAGACGGAGGCCATCAACAGACAACAAATTAAGGAGCTTTTATTCCAGCTTCAGTTAAGTCTGTAGTCCAATAATGACGTGATATTTTCCGTTTTCGTAATACAAATGTGATGGATAGGATACAGTTGTTTTTAATAGCTCATAATGGCAAACGAGCTGCTGTAACATCAACAATGGGGTCAAAATGTCAGGCCTATAGCTTTATACCCTCAGTTACTAGGAGCGAGAATTAGTGGAAAAATACAAGTCACTATACCCTGCTACCCTTCACATCCAAAATGTCTTCCTACATGGAAGTGAACTCCTCCGCCCTTTGGTAAACCCCAGATCACCACGTCGTTCTATACCCAGCGAGGCACCCGTCCCACCTCCACCCAGTCCACTTTAAAATAAAGTGGCTTGCACTCATAGAAGTTAAATCAATTTCATTATAAATGCCCACAGATTACGTCCTGTAATAGCGCCGCCTGGGTAGAAAAACAAAACAAGCTAAACATGTAGTGTGATACAGTTTAAGGTCTCTGCAAGGCCTTCTGGGTAATGGTTGACAGGGGCTCATGTGGTCCATGCCTGGGAGTTCTAGCACCAACGTCCAATAAGGATAAAGGGATAATAACACACCGTACAGCACAGTAGCAACCACATAACAGTCCCACTTTCATCTAGCTGCTCTCACAGAGAGAGAGAGAGAGAGAAAGAGAGAGAGAGAGAGAGAGAGAGAGAGAGAGAGAGAGAGAGAGAGAGAGAGAGAGAGAGAGAATGAGAGAATGAGAGAAAGAAAGAATGAAAGAATGAAAGAAAGAAAGAAAGAAAGAAAGAAAGAAAGAAAGAAAGAAAGAAAGAAAGAAAGAAAGAAAGAAAGAAAGAAAGAAAGAAAGAAAGAAAGAAAGAGAGAAAGAAAGAAAGAGGGAGAGAAAGCGAGAGACGGAGCACCATGGAGAGTGGTCGCGTTTAGAGCCTAGCCACACCCTCATCACGGAGAGCTCACCAATCGCATGACAGTAGACACAGTTAGGAACAGACACGAGGAGACCTGGGAAATCTGAGGAATAGGAATGCAGCAAGAAGTTTAGATGTTGACTCCCTCTCCAGCTTCCATTTTAGCAGCAGTCCATCAGAAGCCTATTGAATCAGTTGGCCAGCCATATGGTGCAGTCTAACTTTGTCTCAGTCTTGGGTCAAAGAAAATATGTTTAAGGGCATTGAATCCTTTGCGTCAAATCAACCAATTGACACAATTCAACCGAGCTACGAATCATTGAAATTCTCTAGAAATTTTATTTGCGTTATGGTGGTAGATTGAGGTGTTGGAGAGGTTGAATTGAACGCTTATCCTCCTTTTAAAGTGTGAATCTGTTTTCAACTCTAACACTGCCTTATTCAGATTCCTCGTCTCCCACCTGGTTATGTACTCATACTCACAGTGATGTGTGCTCTCTGTCTGGTCACAGTTCATGATACAATAGTAACTACAGCTTTTTTATTTTTATTTTATGCATAACGTTTTTATTGATGAAACGAGACAAAATCAGTCAGTTACCTTAATAACATGTGGTGTTAACTGGCTTCTGAAAAAATACCTATTGGTGCCAGAGGACAGTGACATAAAATGGTCAGCATTTGAAACTCCTCATGAAAAAAATCTCAAACTATTAAAGTGAATATCACTGTGTAATATTTATTCAACTTGTAATTTATGTACTCTTTTAACCTTTGTCTTTTTTTTTGTTATGACAAAGCATTTATTTAAATAAAGTGATGTATTCATTTAAAGACGTGTTAGTGATGTGTTTGTGTGATGTGCATTTTGAACTCAAAACCTAAAAATGGTTTATCTCAAACTATTTTCCAGGCACCCCAAGGCACTAACATATAGTCACATACAAAAGATACTGTAGAGGAATGCATAGGGGGTTATATAGGGGTTATATATGGGGTATATAGGTCTGGAAACCCTGACCACAACAACATCAGTTCTCAGAGTAATCCTAGCTATTCAAAAGAACCCATGTAAACTCAAAACTGGAAAAGAGAAACACAGGCACGTCTACACTACAGAAGAACAATCACAAGTAAAGCCTCATAAGCACAGCCCTCGACCAATGAATTGCAACCTT